GCGTGCCGAGGGGGAGGTTGTGCTGGGCGGCCTTGCGCCAGCCGCAGAGTCCCTTGGAGGCTGTGTCTGTCCCCCCGGCGCCGTCTGGCGAGCGGTGGTGCATGGGAGTCGGGTGCGGACCTCAAGGCTCTGACTCCAGCTCCCAGCCCGTAGCTTGCCTCTCGAGCGGAGGGCACCTCACCCTAACAGACCTAAGAAAAACCTCAGAGTCCTTGGCCTCGGCAAAGTGCAGAGTTCCCTCTCCCAGCTCAGGTGCGGAGTTCCTGTGCGTTTCCTGGGCTCCTGCTCTGGAAGGCTGCCTTGCCATTTCAGGTATGTGCTTTGGGCAGACATCTCCTTTTCTGGATGCTTTTTTTGATCTGTCTTTCTACTGAGGCCAAGTTCACCCCACCTTCCTTTAAACACCCCAGTTAGGGGGTGGTTATTCAGAGCTCCTCCCTGGAGCCGGCAGAGATGGGAGCTAATTGTCCTCTGCAGCTGCCTCTCTCCCAACAACTACCGAAGGGGCCTGCGTGGGTTCTGGGGGACTCCTGCTTCTCTCCTGGGAGAATAAAGACCCCAAACTCTTAGCAAACACTGCCCTGATGGTGCCAGTGACAGCCTGGCCGCAGGGATACTGCGCTGGTAAGACCAGCTGGGCAGCAAGGCTGCCTCTTGGCCAGAGCATTGCAAATGCAGACTAGTGAATTTGCAAGCTTTTTGGATCTGGCCCATGTTCTCCCCGGCAGCTGTTACCTTGAGACAAGCTCCTCAGGGGCTTGGATGCTCTGCTGTCACAGGTTGTCAGTCTGGACCTTTGTCCTTGTTTCTGTCTCAGCAGCCCTGCTGGGAGGTGAGCGTGAGCCCGATGGGACTAGAACAAACAATTTACTTCTGCGGTCTCTCTGATTTCCCTTTTATTCAAGGTTTTGATGGGACCGTGCACGTGTATGACGCGCAGAGCTGGGACAGCTCTGGCAGGGAAGCAGAGCCGATCTTTGTACACAAAGGCCACGCGTTCAGCGGGTGGGACAGCAGCGGAGGCCCTCCCCTGGTCACAGTGCACACGTGGCATCCGCAGAAACCGAGAACTTTATTGTCAGCAGCAAGCGACGGTTCCCTGCACGTTTGGGACTGGGTTCAGTCTTGTGGGAAGTGTGGGTAGATCATACTTTCAGTGAGATGTGGTGTGTTTCCTGTCTATGTTCTAGTTTGCGTAGGCTGCGAGGTATCTGTCTGCTTGCAGATACTGTTTTGAGACCGTTGTAGTGAACAGAACCAACTGTAAAGAGTGTTATTTTAATATAGTAAAAATTTTGATTGTGTTACTTGTTCTCCTGTGTACAGCCTTCAAATGATAGCTGTGACTGTGTAGTTCTGGTCGCGTCTGCTAGCAGAGAACATCCTGCCGTCATTTTATCGTAGACCCACATTGTGTCTGCACCATACTTTTCGGAAGAAAACAGACAAAAAAGCATGAGTACGTTTGAGGAGATGGGCTATTCTGTGGCATATTTAACCCGCCGCTTTCCAGGCCCAAAGCATGGGGGGTGAGGCTGTACACCCCGTGGGGTGTTGGCATTTCATCACGTGTGTGTGTGTCACAAGTGGTGGCCTCCGCTCAGGAAGTCACGCTGCAAACGCAGCCCGCTTGCAGCCTGCAAAAGGAACAGGAACAACCCTTTCAGCCCCAGCCTGCTACAGGCTTTGCCCTTTGTGTAACTGGAGGGCACCCAGTCTCGGAAAAGGCCTTGGTATCTTTTGGCTCTTTTCCCACCAACTGACAGTTTAAATTTGATCAGGCTAATGTGATTTCCTGGACCTGAGGAAGCCAGGCAATGACTCTTGCAACGCCTACGCTGTTACCAAGGTGTTACTTGGGAGGGAAAAACTGTCTGCTCCTTATCCCGAACACGAAAAACAGCGTGTTTTGTCGAGGAGCTGGGGAGGGAGTCAAATGGCTGCGCAGGGCCTGCCAGGCTGTGTCCCCTCTGCTCCGCGTCCCCGCACCCAGCGTTTGCTGTCCCCTCCTGATTCTATGTGCCTTTTCACGGTTATTTCTGGGGTCGGGAACTGCCGCTCTCCTTCCCTCCGAGGAGGGGTGCAAAGGGCTCCCCGCTTTTCTGGGTGTAAGCTGAGGTGAGAGGGGAGTTGAGGACAGGCGAGGGTGAGTTGGGGTGAAGGTTGTACTTCGGGAGGAGGGTGCTCGACGCGGCTGGGGAAGCCTGGGCGCTGGGAATGCGGTGTACCGAACTGCGCCGTGTCATGGCAACAGCTGTTTGCCTGCGGGTGCTAAAGCTGAAACCTGCTCCCATCCACGCTGCTCACCTCGCAGGTCTCCTCACAGCGCAAGCCATGTGGGCTCTTCCGCTCCACACCCAAAACCGTCCCTGCCTACGTGGCAGCGTGTGAAATGGGGGGAGCGTGTCCTGCCCGAAGCCGGGGGGGTTTGACGCTTTGTCACCTACCAAAGCTGAGGGTCTGTGTGACCACCAGCAGCGGCAGTTGCTGCACCAGCGAAGAAAAAAGCCTGTTTGAGCCCGGGAGAATCTGAGCATTCATGCAAGAATGCCCGCTCCTCCTTTCCACCCCTGGAGGGTCCCCAGCAAAACTAGTCCAGCTGTGCCAACGTCAAACTGGTGTGAATGGGTTCTGGCCAGGGATTGGGAGGATTTCTGCCCCAGTGAGGGGCAGCTGGGAGGGCTCCTGGCTTTCCAGTCTCTACATCTGCTGGTGAGTGCGTTCCTGGCTGCTGTGGGAGAGCACAGTGTGCCCGTCCCCTGCACTGAGACCTCCAGGTTCATCAGTTTAGGAGGTGGCTTTTCTGGCCCAAGATGGGACAAGGTGCAGTCCCGGGAAGGGCAGCGTGTTGGTTGATGGTACACAGGCACGAAGGGTTCCCAGGGTGGGATCCTGGAGCTCAGTGGATTTTTCTCAAGCACCCCTGGGAGTAGGAGATCTGGCAAACTCTCGGCTCAGCTGAGCTGCCGCAGCTCCTCTTGCCTCCTCCGCAACACGCAGCCTTTAGAGGGGAACACCCACCAGGGTGAGGGTCTGGCCTTGGAGGAGGTGGGCTCTGAGGAGGAGAGATGACCACTGCAGTCTTCCCAGCTTCGTCTTCCTCGCTGTCTCCTTTGCAGGGGCGTGGTGAAGGAGTTGGCAAGCAGAAGCAGCAGAGCCAAGCCTGACCCCGTCCCACGTCACGGTGATGCAGGTAGTGCAGAGAGGACGGGGAAGCAAACTTGCTCGGCTTTCTAGAGAAATGGGGCTTAAGCAATAGCACAGTTTGTACTCATCTAAACTTCCCTTTTGTTTTTTTCCCAAAATAACTTAAGTCTTCTTGTCCAGCTTGAACCAGATTTGACAGGGGACTGGAGATGTCCAAAATATTAAGTACTTGCAGCTGCCATAGAGAGGGATTATGCACAGAGGAGGGATCTCCCTTTCAAACGTGACGCTGGAGAACTCGCACCGGCGGTAAGGGCGTTTCTCCCAGAAATGCACCACGCGGACCTTCAGGCTACGCCTGAACGTTTGATCAGAGTCCAGTTGTGTGACTGTGGGGACTTCGGCCTTGCTGGAGCCAGATTTGCCCTTGGTGGGGAAGGCTGGGATGGCTCCTGCCCCCAGGACAAATGCTGAGGCCCCCGAGACGGACCGACGTAAGGACGGTCTCTCCTTCCCCACAGCACCCGTGTGGAAAGGGGCAGCTCGCAGCTGTGTTGGACCTGCATGTGTCCAACCTCTGCTCTCCACGGGACCACAGAAGGGTCCTCCAGGACCCGTCTTCGCTGAGGCAAGGTGGCCACAGAGCTTTCCTCTCTGGTTTAACCCCAGAGCCAGGCATGCAGCTGGCAGGAGTGAGCGGGCTGGAGAGATGCTTCCCAGCAGGGAGCGGATCCAGAATGGTGCTGTGGATGCTGGCCAGAGCAAGCTGTGCTCTGGGTTTCTCCTCCTTTGCCTGGCAGGGGACAAGCCACAGCCCTTCCCTGAAGGGCTGACCCCCCCAAGAAATTGGGGGGGTTATTTGGCTCATCCCCCAGCCCTGGCTCCTCCTGCTTCCCGGGGGGATGCGAAGCTCACTGCCGCATCAGCTCCCCGCTTGCCTGCGCACCGAGGCGGAGCGGTCCAGCCCTGGAGCTGCCGTCATGCTGCTCCATGGACATCTCCACGCTCCTCGCTGTCCCTCAGCAGGATGCCCACCCGGTGCAGCACTGGGCTTGGGACTTGCATCACCTAGAGAGATGTGCAAGCATTGCTGCACCCTTCGGAGGGGAAGCGCAGGGTCTTGGGGCCTCCAGCCTCGCTGCTCTCCCTGGCTCCTCCTCAGCCCCTTGCTGGGAAGATGCGATTTCAAACCGAGTGCAAGTCTGGGGTTTATTCCGCAGTGTGAGGCTGCGTGCCGCAGCAACGAGGGGAGCTACAGCGAGAGCAGGAGCTCAGTCTCCTGCACCCAGAGATTGTGAGAGCAGAGGCAAGCTTAAGGCGACTATTTTCTGCAACACCAGGGGCTGAGGCCAATGCTCGCAGCGCTGCTGCTGACAGCGCTTTCAGAGGGTGCCTGGATGTTTTTAAGGACTGGGGACTTCTGCTTTAAGACCCTGCGTTGCTCTCTGAAACTGCTGGGCCATATTTATGGGGAGAAGATTTGGCACAGGCTGGCTTTGGCTGGATTTAACAAGGCAGCACCTGTGTGTGCCCATTCCCCTGGCAGCTGGAGCATCCTCTGCTCCTTGAGAGGCCACGACACCTCCGTTTGCACCAAGGGCCATCCAAATTGCCCTATCCCACGTGACAATGACACAGGCCTGGTACCCAGCTCTCAGCATCGTCCCTGGGAGTTGTTCCTCCCTTCTGCTGCCCCGGGTATGAACGCACAGCAGCACAGCACTGGAGAGACCTCAGCTTTTACAGCTGTCTGGCTGCTGCAGGAGGTTGGGTTTTATGATGAGCGCTACGATGGTCGGTCTTCTTCATGCTTGTGGGCACCAGCTCCTGGGTGTATCGAGCCTTGCAGTGCCAGCCCTTAGGGCACAACTTCTTTAACCATCAGCTGCTCCTCAGCTGGACATTGCTCATTTAACAAGTAGTTTGTTAATACACCGTGCTCGCCGGGTACCGCGTGGCCTTGCATTTCGTTTCCTAAATCATGCCCCGTCCCTGCTGCGGGATACAGAAACCTTCATCTCTTCCCTGGCTCCCACTGAAACATCTGCGTGTCCCTGCGCCCAGGGGAAGGCTGTCATCGGTGAGGGGATGGAGAGGGACGGGGTGGCTCGGTGTGAGCAGGGCGGGTGCTGCTGCTCACCCTGGTCCTTGGCAGGAGGAGCGGGATCCCCTGCGGTGGCCGTGTCCATCTGCGTTGGTCTTCTAGGACGGCGTCCCAGCTGATGGAGAGACGCCGGCATTTCTGGGGCAGGGCATAGCCCGCCGTGAGAGCGACATGTTGGTTCGATGCCCTGCCCCGGCTGTCTGTCTCTGCTGGCAGGGAGCCCAGGCAGGGGCGGGCTGAAGCTGCGTTCATCATTTCTCACCCAAATGACCAAGATTTCAGATGTTAGCCGAGAGCGACGAGGGTGCTGGGGTGGTGGGAGCTGTACGGGTTGTGCTGGGGCAGGCGGCTCTCCTGTGCTCCCCCC